CTCTAACATTCTCTTTCTTCTCATTCCGCCTTCGCAACATACGCTCTTCTACAAAATCATTTTTGTCGTGACAATAGTTACAGTCATAACCAGAATCACCCAAAAACTTCTTTTCTTTCTTCTCATCTTTGTTTTGAGAGTTCTTGAAGCTCTCCTCTCTTGCCTTTTTGGAACTGGAATTACCCTTCTTGTGCTTGTTTCTGAAACGAGAGAAATTCTTCTTGAAGAATTTCTTTGGGTTTGACACCATCAAAACTTTTTCTTCTTTTGAGAGTTTATCATCCGAAATATCCTATTCGAAATCATCGACAACTGACATCTTTTGGTTATCAAATCTTGACATCAAATCCAACGAACCAACTCCACAAAGTAACTTCGCTTCTTTTGTAACTTCATCTTCGTGGGATTTCAGAATGCTCACGAGTTTTGCCAACGAATAGTTTTTGAATTGTTCATGCGCTTTAACATTTGAAACAATGGACTTCCATTCGTATCTAACACGATTCATGAACGTGTCCTTCTGTTCAATGACTCTTCGCTCAAGATTGTACTTAAGCATTCTACTTAGCAAGTGATTAAAGCGATTGAATGTCTGATCTAACTTCTCTTTTGGTTTTTGTACAAATGATCCAAACTCTAAGAATAAAGACATTTGTAAAGGATGTTCCAAATCAGCATCTCCAGAATACAATTCCTTCAACCCATCCCAAATACCTTTTGTAGTATCGTATGCACTAAGAATATGAAAAGTGTCACGAGGAAGAGCAAATCGAATGATTCTCATTGCTTTTGTATTGCACATCAGCTTATCCTTCTCTGTAACATCCATAAAATTCGAGCCAATTTAAAAATTTTTAAATCATATAAAACCATTCAGTTATTACAATTTGTTTTCAAAATAGTTTAAGCATCAGAGTTCTTAGAAATCATAATCATAAATCGAGGAAGTGTACGATCACGCCTTTGCCTTCCCGCAGTCATCCGCTGAACCTGAAACAGTAAACTGAAACTGTAAACCCGAAAGCTTAGTGAGTCACCCCTAAAATAATCATACACACAACAATACACATACAATAACAAACACCATAGTATGGTTCCAATCATCCGTCGGGATGGAATACCCCAGGCCCCTCAACCATCGGGTTGGAATGCCAACATACTATGGGTCCAATCAACCATCGGGTTGGAATACCCAAGGCCCACAACCATCGGGTTGGAATACCCACCTGCTACGAGCCCAATCATCCTCGGGATGGAATAATCTCGGCCCACAACCATCGGGTTGGAATGCCCACACACAATACATATATAACAGATACTATGTGTCCAATCATCCATCAGGATGGACTACCCTAGACCCATAACCATCGGTTTGGAATGTCCACATACTATGAGTCCAATCATCCTCGGGATGGAATACTCACGGCCCACAACCATTGGGTTCGAATGCTCATAACCAATCAAACATGTGCACCTATATCAGATAATCATATAACATACTATAGAGACAACATACTAGAGTCCTATCATCCTTGGGATGGAATACCCTCAACTACCAATCAATCATGTGCACATATAACAGGTAATGTCCTACCAACATACAGACAATCATACCAAATACATGCCTCTAAGCATAGCCACATCCTATCTACCAGGATACCGATCTAACAGAGCATACCAACATATAACCATCCTATCTACTAGGATACCAATATAATCATAGCATACCAACATATAACCATCCTATCTACCTGGATACCGATCTAACATATCATAGCAGTATCAATTCTGAATAACATATCATAGCAGTATCAATTGGTGCCTTAGACCCTTGAATATAGTGAGGATAACTCACCTCGCAATGCCGATCTGAACTGAAGAATCAAACTCTTGAATCGCTGCCTCACCAAAATCTTGAACTATCCAAATAATAAATACCAAGTCATTACACAACATAACAATCTTAACTAGCGGGTCCACACAATCCATCATGTCCATTCTCTTTGTTAGCCCAAGGCCCAAAGACAATTCTATAACCTTGAAAGCCCTTAAGCAAAACCCATTATTGGCCCATCTCCGTAATTGGGCCTCACTCCAAGTTCCATCATCAAAACTTGGCCCAAAAGATTATATTCATAAAGTCAACCAAAGACCCAAATCCAACTAGTCCATAAACAGCCCAAAATCTGAAGCCCAAGTGTCAAAGGCCGAATAGAGGACATACGCGGGGCGTACTCCTCTTGTACGCGGGGTGTAATCGTCCAAATGTTGACCACCATTGGGGTGGTTGATCCAATATGCTGAGTGTACTGGATTTACGCTGGGCATACGAGGGGTTTCACCAAAATCCTAATAAGTGCTTAATGATTTAAGCACTTAAGTCCAAACTCCAGATCCATCGACCAAATGTGACATACGACTATAAAGTCTCATACTTTATCACTTTGGATGTCCAAAAAGCTCTTAATACTTGGTATTAATCCATTAAGACCTTCCTACTCTAAGAATGGGACATCTTAAGCCATTGGGACCTCATTTTTATAACTCAAAACCCCTTCAAGAGTCTAGAAGGACAACTCATTTCGTCCAAATCATAACATGCACCAACTTAGGGACTTTTGTGACAAGAATTGTTTCATTAAGCTAGAATGGCTAGACCTATATCATACAAGCATAAAGTTTGAAGCTTTTTACCTTCTAGAGCTTCTAGGGCACAAACTAACTTCAGATCTACAAGCTTGATCTTCTTATCCAACTCCTTTATGCAACACCTTCTTCTTAAAACACTCAAGAAACACTCAATAAGCTCATACACTCAAGGAAATGGCTAGGGTTTGGGGAAAACGACTACAGTCGAGGCTGGGGTAAGGAAAGGTCTTGTGCTCATAATGTTACTTATATAGTCCCCAAACCCTAAATATTAGGGTTTCCTTCTGCCATGAGTACGCCCAACATACACAAGTGTACGCCCAGCTTACAAGGGCGCGCCTAGTACGCTCGGTGTACCCTTATGTACGCAGAACGTACTCCTCCTAATCCCAATAATTGCAATTTAGCCCTTACACTTTCATGGCTTCATCCTTTTATCCCCAGGGACCATAAATCACAAATATTGGGATGTTACATTCTCATCATGTGGAATGTTAGTTTGTTCAATAATGAGAGCATTATATTCAACCAGAGTTTTGAATTCTTTTCTGGTACCCATATGCATGTACGTCTCCTCCGTCATTGCGTGCCATACTCCAGAACCATGTTCTTCAATTCCAAGAATGTAATCTTCAAGGTGAAGAGCACATACCTCATAATCTTTTGGAAAAAGGATAAGAATCCTTGTTTTTGAACAAATATTGCTTAATAGATTGAATGAAAGCAAGTGTGGATCGTCATTTGGCATATTAACATGATTTTAAGCAAACAAGATATATAATCAGATGTGTAAACTTGAATCGAGTTCAAGGGTAAACTAGTGATCTAGATTTGGAATCTACAATCAATTGAGAAGATTATGACAACAAGAACAGATATGAGAAAATCCTAAAACCTAATGCAAAACCCTTTATTCAAAAGAAGAATAGTGAATCGATTACAATATCTTCTGCTCTGATTCCAATTGTGAAAACAATCAAGGTTGATAGATTCTATATTTGCAATATGAGTTAAAGATGAGACACAATGATGATCAATAGAGTGTCGAATGATTATTATTCACGAAAATAAAATAGTTCTTAAGGAGGAACTACTCTGTACTTGCCTCTCAAAAGTGTAGCCCTAAAAGATTACATGCACGCTGTAAATAGACAAATACTAACAGTGATTTCGAACATGAACATACCCATTTCGGAATTTGACACAACATATTATCAGACTTAACAATATTATCGTACGTGTAGCTGCCATGACATGGCCTATGGCTTGCTACGACGTGGAAGGTCAGTTGGGGTTGACGTTCACCGTTGACTTTTTTTACAATGTTGACTTTTGGCAAACTTGAGGGTTTTAGAATGTAGACTAAGAGGGAGCTTTTATACTGATGAATATGTGATTCTTAGTACCTGTATTCACTGTCAGTTGTTGTGTTAGTTTGTTATTCACGAGGTGAGTCTTCTCGCTATATCACCTATGTCATAGTAGGGAAATACTAGACTAATTGAGTCTTATTTGTTATTTTTTTTATATGTGTTTATTGAGTTACTGATAACTCTAGGACTGTTGATAGTCTATAGGGTTACTGATAACCCATAGGGCTGTTATGAGCCCACTAGATTGGTGATAGTCCTTATAACTAGGGTAAATTACACGGATGGTCCCTGTGGTTTAGGGTAATCTGCTAGATTGGTCACTGAGAAATTTTTTTAACTCGGACCTTCCCTAATTTATATTTTCATTACGTGTTTGGTCCCTGACCATTCTAAAAAGACTAATTTACCCTTCATGATTTCCTTTACGTTTTTTAAATTATCAATTAATTAAAAAAATATTAATTAAATATGGAAAAACTATTAATTAAAAAAATATATTTGTCAACCGAAACCTCCTCCCCTCCCTTCCCTCCTTGTGTTCAATCGTTGGAAAATCTCACTCCTCTCGCTCGTAAATCTCACACATTAACGATGTCTTCTCTGGCTGAACTTCCACCCCCCCCCCCCCCCGACTGTCTTCGCCGACTACAGTCGAATATTGAAATCAAACACAAAATCAAATGGAACCTGAACCTTAAATTAATCCAATATGCAAACCTAAATTTGAAACTAAAATCGAATCTGAAACTGAAATCAAACACAAAAATCAAAATCAAATCTAAATTCAAACTTGAAACTGAAATCAAACATGAAATAAAACTAAAAATTGAATGCGGAAATTAATTCAAACCTAGAACAAACCTTAAATTGAAAATTGAACCTGAAATCAAACCTAATCGGTGTTGTAGTGTCGATTTGGGCACCGAAATTGAAATCAAACATGAAATCTATTGTATTTGTCACTTCTGGTTCGGTAACATGCTTTCCAATCCGAGACAAAGAAATAGGCCAATGCTCAAGTTTGTATTGTCTCGTCAGATTCAAGTGCCTGCATCACCTCCACCTTCTCTGGTGGTGCTGGAAATAGATGATGGTAGACGAAAACGAGAGTGAGGAAATTGGAGTTTAAGGCGCCGTTTGCTTTCAAATGAAATAAAGAGTGGCATAGTAGAGAGACAGGTTACTCCCATGAGTGAAGAGGGGAAGGAGATGAAGTGTTTTCTCACCAGCCATGTGTGATGTTGTTGAAGTCACCGGAGATGCAGCTGATTAGTGATGCAACTGGTATATTGTGATGATGGAAGACGAGGGGTGAAGAGGGAGCCGATGAGGGATTGGAGACATTGCTTAGGGTTTTTGGGATTTATTTTATTTTATTTTTTAAATATTTTATTAATATAAAAAGGTAAAGTAATAAATAATAAATTATTAAGGGTAAAATAGTCTTATTATATCGGACAGGGACCAAACGTGCAACAAAAATATAAATTAGTGACGGTCCAAGTTAAAAAAAATTGTTAGGGATCAAGCTTGCAGATTACCCTAAACCACAGGGACCATCCGTGTAATTGCTAATAGTCTTAGGGTTGTTCATAACTCATAGTTGTTTATTATGTTGTGTTGTATGTGATATTTTGGGAAATTTGCTAAGCTTTGCGCTTACATTTGTGGATTTAAATGTGTTTAAGATACTTTAGGTGATCGTGAGAAGGCTAAGACTTGACTGTACACTCTCATCGATAATTTTTTTTATTTAATTTAATTTAATTTATTTTTATTTTTATTTTTATTTTTATTTTTTTTTTTTTTGTGATTCTGGATTGTTATGAAACTTTGATTTTGGGATGCTTGTATTTGATACTCATGTTTTTCCTTGACTTGGTTTTATGAAAACAATGTTTTACCTAATTTAAAAATAAAAAATTTGGTTGCGAAGACGTACAAGTACACTTTTTGTCCCACTCCATGAGTTCCTATGGGACCGCTCCCAACATTCTAAACACAACCTAAATGGCTTTGATTGGATTCATTATGCTTGTAACATATACATACCATCTCAAATGTTCATGTTATAAAGCAAAAAACAAGAAACTTGATTGTAAGAAATTTGGGAAGTAATTAAAAATTCGTTAGCTTTTTAAAGAAACAAAAGAAATAAATATAAAGAGTGAAACAACTACATGAGATGACACACATAACGAGCCTGTGAATATTTTTCCACTATTGTGGTCATTGTACGAAACATTGATAAATTGTGTAAGTTTTTACATAAGAAAACCACTTAAAGGCACATATTATTGCCATTATGGATGTATAATAGGCATGTCATAGTTTATAATAGAATTAAATTTAATTATATATAGCAACAACTAGGGGCGGACCTTGTATGGTCTCGAGGGGCCCATACTAATATGTTATTTTTTACATATAACTTTCATTTTGCAATGCTAACAACAAATGATATATTATGTTAAGTTTTGGGTTTAAAGCTAGTAGCACTGGTTTTATTGAAAAAATACTAATAAGAATGAAAAACTTGTTTTTACTATCAACATGATCACCACCAAAACAAATACCAAATAAAACATACTATTATGTTTATTTTTATGCATAACTTTTATTTGTAATGCTAACTATGGATGATATATTATGTTAGATTCCAGATTTAAACCTAATGGCACCAATTTTGTTAAAAAAATACTAATAAAAATGAGAAACGTATCCCTGCTTGTTGAAATCCTGAAAAACATGTTGTATGAAGGAATGTCATCCCATCTCACATCGATATGGAAAAGATGATGTGAGTCAAATCTCTTGTGTGAAATATTGAAAGATATATGGTATGAAGAAAAGTTTACTATAACAATCGGGCCAAAACTAAGAATATTCAAAAATGTGGTTAAAAAAAGGTGGGGCGAAAAATTAAGAGTATCGAAAGGATTGGGGTTAAAATTGGAAACAATGAATGGTGATGGGACCAAAGGTGTTTTAAAAACCATATTTTTTTTTGTTTGACAAAAAAGTGGGCCAACACTGAAGATATTGAAAGTTTTGGGGCCACAATTGAAAACAACGAAAGTGATTCTAAATATTTTTTAAAAAAGAAATATTTATAAATGTTTTATATTTAATTGTAACACCTAATTGTTTTAAGTTTTTTTTTTTAAATGAAAGTATTTCTAATTGTTTTAAACTTCTAATATTTAAAAACATCTTCATATAAAAAACTTGTATGAAAATAGTGTAAAGTGTAAGGAAGTGTTTGAAAAAAGTTATAAAACAAGTTTAACAACTTTTTAAGCCAAAGTATTCATAGACGTTTTGAATTTGTAATATTTAAAAAAATTGTTTTTAAAAAGTTATTTGGAAGTTGTATGAATGTTTTAAAACGTTTAGAAAAATGTAAACTAAATTTAGAATGTTGTATTAAAAAATATAAAATATGTTTTTATTATTATTATTATTTTTTTGTAAAAAGTAATAGAAGATTATAAAAAAGCTATAAGATTTTTTTTTAAAAGTTTAAAAATAGTCTTTAAAAGGATTGGAAAAGAAGTCTAAACAAAGATGTAAAAAAATTCAAAGTTTCGAGGATTCCTAATAAAGAGTCAAAAACACAGTTCTCTACATTTTTATAATTTTTAATTAAATTTGTTAGTACACTGATAGATAATCGCAGGGTTCTGCAACGTCCAAGTCGCTGTCTGCTCACTTGGACTTTCTATGCGAGACAAACTGAAGACTTTTTCAGTTTACTTTTTCTCCAAAAACAATTTAAGCCCTTTAATATGAACCCTATTATAAAATTTGCACTGGCTTTTTCAATTGACTTATTCTCCTAATATGTTTACTTGAAAGAATAAAAGGAAAAGCTAACACCGCTGATTCCTGAAACCACTTGATCTGTAGCTTTCAGTCATCTTCTTTTTCAGCTTCGTCACTGTTGATTCATCCACTACATATCATTGCTGCTTCAGGTCTCCTTGTCTTCCTGTTAGCAGGTAAGTATGAAGGCACATTCTTATAAGTTAGTTTCAGATATTGTTTGACAATTTCATCTTATTAATCATAAATAACATTATAATCATTTGTTTATTTCGTGAAGAGGTGATTGGATTTTTTTTTTTTTGCTTGTTTAAATTACTTTTGTTTAATTTTAGACATCATTAGGATAGTACACGTCCACTAGTCCAGAATGATGAACAGAAGTCCTTGCACAGTTGAAAATTCTTCAACCCTCCAAAATTGTTTCCTCAATTCCTTTGTATTTACTAATTTATAAGCAGGATTTTTTACATTTAAATCTTTTTAAAGGATGTTATCTGATCCTTAACTGTAAGCTAGACCTGCATAATGAACAAGCTTCAATATTTGATTTACAAAATGGGTGTTTAAATTTGAAATTTCACCTAGTATAGAGTTTGAATTTGAACCCGTTTGTTACTTTGGTAAACATATTATATGGAACAAACCTATGGATTTTAGTTGAAATCCTTCAGATATGATGATACTAGATCTAGTGATAGAAAAGTTTAAATATGTAAAGGTTGTTGCTAATTTGGGGGATCTGTATGTCAGAAAACTTTTTTTTTTCCCTTTTGGATCTTCAAATTACTGGTTGTTGATATTTAGTGAAAGCTTGAGATTGCCTATATCTTATGCACTGCTTTTAATGGGAGGCAATTGTGAATCTTGTAGTTGTATCCAGAATGGTATTTGGTGTTGAATTGTTGGTTAATTAAATCAAAATAGGGATCTTGTAGGTTAAATGAATTAGTTGGTTCAACTCAAATAAGACCAGTCTCTCTCTCACTCTCTCTGCTTGATTCCCGTATGTCCCTTGCACACAAAACAACCTATGAATGGCCTCTGAACACAAAAAATGAAATCGAGGGTTAAAACACACTTATAAACGTTATGCTATATATAGCTCCAATATCAACTCTAAACTCAAAGTTTGGGGTTAAATATTGGATATTAACACAACTAGAGTTCATATAGTAAGATTTAAATATTTTCTAGGCGTATTAGTTCAAAAGGAAAAGTTTGGAGATGCAAGTTACTTAAAAGTTTAATTTTGAAGAATTCAAAGGTATTAATCTTTTTAGGTTTAAATTCATTGATGAGAGTTATGTTGCATATTGTTAGATCCTGACATTGAAGCACAAGTGAGGAAAACTGGTGAAACCAACTTACATCATCAATAACCTGTGGAGGAGTTTCAATGCTTACTTAAATACAACCTTAAGCTCAAATAAATACTAAAAATCGTGAGAAGAGCAAAGAATCATCAACACATAACTCATAATGGTTGTTCTATCTGAACTTCCAGAAGGATCTTCATCTTTTTCATCAACTCATGGTCATAGTTCACTAACCCATGATCATAATTCATCAACTCAAGATCATAGATATGATGTATTTTTAAGTTTTAGAGGTGTTGACACTCGTCATAGTTTTACTAATTATCTTTATGAGGCCCTCATAGATGCCAATATCAATACCTTCTTGGATGATGAAGAGATTGAAACAGGGGAAGATCTTAAACCGGAATTAGAGAGTGCAATTAAGGCATCTCGGGCTTCTATTATTGTGTTGTCTAAGAACTACGCTTCTTCAACATGGTGTCTGGATGAATTGGTGCTGATCCTTAAGAAGCGTATGACATCCAACCACATTGTCATCCCCATATTTTATCATGTGGAGCCCACCCACGTCAAGAAGCAACAAAGTAGCTTTGGAGAGGCAATGACTAAACATAAACAGAAAATGAATGAAGAGATGGATGAAAATAAAAGAAATCAATGGGCTCAAAAGATGGACCGATGGAAGAAAGCACTTACCGAAGTTGCTAATTTAAAAGGAAATGACATAAATGGCAGGTAACCACATATTCATCTATATGAAAAATGTCAATATCATCTTTGCCCTATGCATTTCGGTATGTTCTTTTTTAATATTATCAAATAGACATACATTTGATACAGTAGGATAACTAAGATGCATATTTTGTATAAATATAACATTGTTGCATAAATTTGGAAAAGGACGAAATGTCGTATGTTTTGTATAAATATAACATTATTGCATAAATTAGGAAAAAGATGAAATGTTGTTGCATAAATAAATAGTACCCTTTTATTAAAAGCAAATTTTGAATAAGTTTCTATACATCTACTATTAGTTATACCATACTACCTTTAAATCATAGCGTCTTTTATGATAAATAACTTCTGTTGTAAGTAGTAAAGGATAACCTACAGGCTTTTTTTTAAGACTCGCATCATTGATAGTTAAGTTTGATGGTCTTGTAAAAACACAGTGAAGTTACAAGGCCCATTATGAAAACTTGTATTATATTGGTAGTTTTGGTCTTATTATACATAAATATTTATGGGCTTACAATTAGATATGTATATGGTTAGAATAAAGACAATATGTTTTGATGCCAAGAACTTAATTAAAAGTTTTAAACTAATAGTTGCTTTGAAGGAATAGATTTCCGGAATATTATATTGTCATTGATAAACAAGTTAAATCCTCATTTATAAATCAACTAGTCTAACTAAAACATAAAATACAAATAAAGTAACCTAAAAGCAAATAAATCCTATTATGCATATATCTGACACTAACACTTGTCACATAATATTTATTTGGATCTTTATATAAAAGAAATCTCCAAATCTGGTTTGTTAGTTTTCTAGATTGTATTTTGTAATTCTTACTACATTAAGTTTCAGGTTTGAGATAGAGTTTATTGAAGAAATTGTGAAGGACATCTACCGTAGATTACATGTACCCTTATTACGGAATTTCCAGCCACTACTTATTGGGATGAAGACTTCCATTAACTTCATCACTTCATGGTTGAAAGATGGATCCTCACTTACGACAAACATACTCACTATTTCGGGTATTGGCGGGATCGGGAAGACATCTTTAGCCAAACATGTTTACGGGTTATATTGTCGTGAGTTCCAAACAAGCAGCTTTATTGAAGATATTGGTAGGAGATATGATGGAAAGTATAATGGGCTGCTTGATATACAAAAACAACTTTGTGGTGACATTTTAAAAACAAGTCCAATTCAAGTTTATGATGTTTCAAAATACACATCAATGATAGAGAATGCAGTAGCTCGAAAAGGGCGTTTCTTGTTCTT